TATATCTAGTTCCATAAATCTATACTTTCACAAAGTTGGGTGAAACCTAGACTCATTGAAACTTAAAATGATACAATAAAATAATTCTACAAGGCTAGATAATTCTCCACTTTTTTTTAATAGCAAATGCAAACTTTATTTATAAAAGACTCTTAGGAACTCAGTGGCTGGCTCTTTGACCACCCCCCCACCCCACCCCCGAGGGAGGAGCAGCCTTGCTAGGCCACAGAGGAGGACACTGCAGCCAGTCCTGATGAGACCTGATAAGCTAGGGTCAGATGGAAGGGAAGGAGGACCTCCCTATCAGTGGACTTAGGAGGGACATGGAAAGAGATGAGAGAGAGAGGGTGGGACTGGGAGGGGTTGAGGGAGGGGGCTACAGCTGGGATACAAAGCAAATAAAATGTAATTAATGTAATAAAAATTTAATTAAATTGGAAAAAATAAAAATAAAACAAAATGAAAGAGTCCTAAAATTATTATCGAATGCCATGAACTTCTCCACTTTTGGTATATGAAATCTAATGCAATAATTTTAAGATTTACAGAGATAAATAGGGAAATTTTAAACAGCTTTATTCATGGATGGCTATTTCAAAGCTTTTCTCAGAGTTAATTACCAGCTACTATGCATTCTATCAATTTCATTTCATAGCTTTAAAAAAGAAAACTTACTCATCTATATTAAAGTTGTAAGCATTCCCCTGAACCTTGTAATGGCAGGCCATTCCAGTAGGAACCGACAGAGGAAACAGGCACCTTTTTCACCGGCATTTCATTGCCACCTACCCACTGCGCTGTGTGTTCAAAAGTCCAAAGTGAGAGTCTCCAACAGCTGACCTCCCTGGCACCTCGGGACCCCAGCGGGAATGTGGATGCATACACACATTTGTAAATAGCCAAACAGATGTCACGGAGGAAGCGGGACTTCTTAGCACCGCAAGCCAGAGCTGAGAGGGGCAGCAGCCAGGCAAGATACCGGGGTCAGGGCTGGAAATATAGCTCGGTGGTTAATCAGTCACATCCTATGTATGAGGAGCCGACTTCAATTCTCAGCACCGGAAAGGGAGCATTGTTGACTTCTCTCACCCCTGGCAATAACACCTGAGGTTTCTGTTTCCAAAATTGTGTGTGTGTGTGTGTGTGTGCGCGCGCGCGCATGCGCATGTGCGCATGTATGTTCACATGTGTGAGCACATACACATGTGTGCACAGGCATGTGGAGGCCAGGCATTGACATCAGCGTCTTCTTGACTACACTTCTCTTTGTTCACTGAGGTAAGGTCTCTAAACTGACCCAGAGCACACAGACTCAATGAGTCTAGCCACCCACCTTGCTCTGGGGAACTCCTTGTTTCTGCCTCCCAAACACTAGAAATACAGGAGGGACCCTCCCCTCAGCTTTTACTGGGTATTAGGGATAAAATTTCAGTCTTCAGACTTGTGCAACAAGCCCTTTACCGCCCCCCCGCCATCATCCTAGTCCTAAACTGAATGTTTGTGTGTCTCAACCCCAACTCAAATTTTTCAATAGTAACCCCCAAGTTAAAGTCACTACTTCATGGGCCTCTGTGAGGTCGGAGGTGATTTTCAGTCGTGAGGGCAAAGCCCTTGTGAATGTGACTGGTTCCCTTCTCAAAGACCCCAGAGAGTCTTTGCACCCTTTCAATTATGGACAGCACAAGAAAAAGATGACCATCATCCATAAACCAGGGAATTAGGCCCACACCAGATAAAGAGTCTGTCGGGTGTTCTAGTCTCCAGAAGAGAAACATCTCTAGATGTTTTCATGACATCTGGTCTATGATGGTTTTTCATAATAATCTAAAAACACTAAGGTACCTCCTCTTTAACCTATACTTTTCAGCCTGCTGTTCTGACTAATCTCCTTTTTAACCTCTCTTTGCTATGCAAACATCTCAGTTTTTAAAGAGGACTAAGGAGCTACATCTTACAACTTATTATACACCCCACATAATGCAGAATGATTCATAAATAGCCCAACTAGCTTTACAGTTGAAATTTACTTTTTAATTACTTTAGATCAAAGCATACTCCACACAAAGGGAACAGGCTCTATTTTTTGTGGGGGAGAGGAGTTCATAAAGAAAACAATTTCTAAGTGTTGATACAGCAGATGTTTTTTAACATCCTTTTTCTACAGTGTGTGATTTTTTTAACTTTGTTGATTCTCTGTGAATTTCGTATCATGTACCCCAGTCCCGCTTATCTTGTCCCTCCATATCCACCTTCTGTGCTTGCAACCTCCCTCCCACAAAAGAAAAAATAAAAATTAAAAAACAAAAACAACACCATCTCACTGTGGAACAGCATGTCACACAGTATACCCTTTTGTCCACACACCTTTACTTGGCAATGAGTCACTCGTCCAGTTTGAGGTCCCTGGCTTCCGCTTCACTATCAATACTGGGACTCCTCTCAGATACCCTGTCGCTTCCCTGTGTCATGGAGACCTGCAGCTTTGGATCTGTAGATTGGCCTTTCACACGACCTAACAGTTCACAGACGGAGTAGATATTGGGGTAGGCTAACTCAAAGCCCTGGATCTGGGCTTGAGTGGTAGCTGAGTTAGTCAGACCACCAGCTCTCCTGTACCACACCACCAAGTCCAGCTCTCCAGCATTGCCCCAGCCAGTATATCCAATGCTGCACAGCTGGCAAAGGGCAAGACCAGATTTCCTGCTCTTATACCCTCAAGCCAGCTCATCCACGCCCACGATACCAGGGACAGCTCTACTGGGCTGCCCAGGTGAGGTGCAGGGCCTACTCTCTCCAGAGTGCTGCAGCTGGGGGAAGGGGAAGGAGATCTGACATCCTCTTCTGGCCTCCTCAGATACCAAGCAACCATATGGTGCGCAGACATCCATATAGGCAAAACATACATACATATAACATAAATAAATAAAATTTTACATAGTGATACAGTGATGTAGCATTGTTCTTTAGTAAGCCCTGAGATAACAATTGACTCTTAAACATCCTGCTGTAAACATTTCCGAGTTCATGATGCAGCTACAAGTTCTTTAATCTTTTTCTAGCATCCAATCCTGCTTTGTTCTCCATAACTTTAGAATAGTAAGATGTTCCTTCCCAGTTATTTTCACATCAGAAGCCTTTCAACTATACACTCCCATGTCAACTAGAAAATATTTAGCCAGGCAAAGAAAAAAAATAAAGAGGAATTCTACTCTGACTAATTATACTGTCTGCAGTATCCCCAAGCTATCAGTCCTTAGGCTGATTCACAGCTCCCTCATAGCTCCAGCCTTTTACCAAGCAGCTAGCAAAACTAAGCACAACAGATAAGGAAACTGGATTTACCATTAACTTACAACCTGGCCTGACATCCAAGCCTGCAGACTTCCTGACAGGGTGGTTAGATGTTTTGTTTTGTTTTGTTTTGTGTTGTTTTTTTTTTGGGGGGGGGGGGGCTGCACATCACTTTTTTTATGATTGAGAGTTTATGGAATGTCTCTGATGAAACATGGAACTGTGGGTATATAATAAAGAGTTACATTTAAAACAGAGATCCTCGCCATCATGGCGCTGCACACCTTTAATCCTTTTTTAAATGATCAAGCCCAGTTACAGACCTTTGTTGCAGAATTCAAATGAGAAACTGTAATAGCAAGCCTTCAAAAACCAAAACTATAGTTTTGTCTGTTTTCTGGTTTAGAACAGGGATATTACTTTGCCCACAGGATTGTAAAAACTAAGTGGAAGAATACTTAGAAAATCCTCAGTATATGGCTAGCCCTGCCTTTATTGCAAGGGTATATATGTCATAGTAAGACAGGAAAAAGAACTATCCTTCTTTGAAGAGTTATTCTATTATAATGGTCTTATTTTTTGAGACAATTACTAAAATCTATCATTACATTATACCTTAAAAAAATAAACCACAGAATCAACAGTGCTCATGGGGGCTCCCAGACGGAAGTGGTAATCGCAGAGCCTGCATGGGTGTGCACCAGGTCCTCTGCACACATGTTGTGGTTGTTTAGCGTGGGTTTTTGTAGGACTCCTGATGGTAAGCGTGTGGGTGTCTCTGGCTCTTTTGCCTGTTTTGGAGACCCTTTTCCTCCTCCTGGATTTTTTCATCCTCCTCCATATCCTTCCAACCCTGACAGGAGAGTTTGTGCCTAGTCTTATTGCATCTTATTATGGCATGTTCAGCTGGTATCAGTGGGAGGCCTGCTCTTTTCTGAAGGGAAACACAGGAGCAGTGGATCTAGGAATGGGGAGGACAAGCGGAAGGAGTGGAGGAAAGGGAGGACAAGGTTGGAATGCATTGTATGAGAAGAATAAATTTTAAAAAATTATCCTATTATAATAATGGTCTTGTTTCTGCGACAATTAGTAAAATCTACCAGTATAGATCATAGAAAAAATTAAACCACATGAGATTTAATAATACAGCCCCTTTGTCTATATAAGGAAATATCACACTTGAGGCTGGAGAGCTGGCCCAGTGCTTCAGAGCACTTACTGCTCTTGCAGAGGAACCACAATCAGATTCCAGCACCTCCATCAGGCAGCTCTCACTGCCTGTAACTCTAGTTCGAGGAGTCAGATACTCTCTGAGCTCCTTGGGCACCAGCACATACATGGGACACATAAACTACATGTCAGACATGCATATACACAAAAAAGTAATAAATAAAATCTGTTAAAAATTAAAAAGAAATGTCAAACTTAAAATTACAGAAAAATAGACTTTAATAATTTTTCACTAAAACAACTATATGTCATGGTTTTAATTAAATCATTTATTCAGTATATAACATTCCAAATCTTAAATTTATTTAAGAAAATGTTCAAAAATGACTTTCAAATGACTTTAAGTTTACGTTTTCCCATTTCATATAAAATATCCTTAAATTAAATCTGTGAAATTATCATTCATTGTATATATTAATGCATGCTTTATACTAAATGTCCAATATTGATAATAAAATAAACTATCTTTATCTACTTACTGCAATCTCTCTACAAGCTGACATGGATATTCCCGTGCCTTCAATTTGCTTCAGTGCATATTCCTTTTCATCTTTTCTGCATGTGAACAAAAAAAAAAGTTTTTATTTTTCCATATATTACTTTTAGGTTTAAATTTTTAACTACAAAAACAATAGAAATGTATTTTGCCTCTCAATGATATGTAAACCTTGTTACTATGAGATTTACTGCTGATTATTTTTATAATATTTCCACTATAGGACTATGAAATACCAAAAGAAATTCATGTTATTATAAAAACACCCGACAGTTAAAACATGAAATTCAAAATGAAGAGAACAGAACACTAAACACAGCACTAATTTCAAAGAGTAAACATGCATAAATATAAACTCAAGCATATTGTAAGATCACTCCCATTCCTGTCTTAATCATCTGAAGTCTACAGAAGCCTTCTGTTATAAACCATCACTGCAGCAGTGACTCACAGAAACTACCAGACTCACTCAATTAGCTGCAAGTTCCAAGGCACCAAGCAAAAGCCTTTTAAGACTTCAAAACTTAGCACCAACATCTCTTTCTCAAAACACTCCTGGAAAAAATCCAGTAGTTAAGAGTGTTTTGAAAACAAGCAAAGGAGACAGGATTGGGAATCCTGGCAAGCAGCACAGTAGCAGGGGTTTTAATCAATACAATACAATGTTTCAATAATGGGGGGTCAGATGAGGGGCTATTTTAACAGTTGCTATCCTCAGTGGACAGACATCAGAACTAGCCACAAGAGGGCCGCAGCCAACTGCCATCCTTGTGATTGATTATCTGGTAAACACAAATCATGCCGTGAATTGTTCTAAGAAGAGGGACATAATCTATGCCATCCAAGTTTTATCTTTTGGTTGTATTAGAGCAGTAGCTCTCAACCTGTGGGTCGTGACCCCTTCGGGATCAAATGGCCCTCTTTCTCACATAGGTTGCCTAAGACCATTGAAAAACACAGGTATTTACATCATGATTCAAAAACTTAGCATAATTGTAACACAATTACAATTATGAAGTAGCAATGAAAATAATTTTATGGTTGGGAGTTGCCACAACATGAGGAACTGTATTAAAGGGTCACAGCATTAGGAAGGTTGAAAACCACTGTATTAGAGCCTCAGCAAAGTGTAGGTGGTTTCATTAAATGACATCACCAAAGAATTGGCAAATCTGTCCTACTTAGCTACTTCTCGTTTTTACCATTCTATATCTAACAGCAGAAAAAAGATCAAGATGTTACTCACAATGTACCTTTCAAATTAGAGCTGGGAGGTGGTGATGGCGCAACACCTTTAATCCCAGCACTCAGGAGACAGAGGCAGGCAGATCTACGGGAGTTCAAAGCCAGCCTAGTCTGCACAATGGGTTCAAGGACAGCCAGGGCTATTTCATAGAGAAACCCTGTCTCAACCTATCCCTCCCCACCAAAAAAAAGAATAAATAAAATGGAGAAAATAAACTTTCTTTTCAACATACATACACATTTTCCACCAAGACAGGGTTTCTTTATGTAGCCCTACCTGTCCTGATAGACAAGCCTGACCTCGGAACTCACAGCGATCCACCTTTGCCCGAGTGCTTGGATTAAAAGCATATGTCACCACCACCCAGCTTGAATAGCACTTATTATAACCTTAATTACCTATTGTGGGTAAATAAGTGAGTTATAGATGCTTTCCATTTACCATCAGTCTAAAAATGATATTTATTTTTCCACTATGTGCCAATTAGGATAATTAAGCATCTTTTATTTTACTTTTTAAACAAAACATAGTTACTCTAAGACTGGCCCCTGGGCCTGGTAATCCCAGAGCCTTTACACAGCATTTAGGTGACAGGAAAATGTACCACATGTCAGAGGAATAGTCTGTGGTGAACTTACAAAATGACTCTAAAAAGGTCATTAAAATCATGGGAAATTTACCCTATGTCCTGCTTAGTTCTTCTCAACCTGACACTAGAGCAGCGGTTCTCAACCTCCCTAATGCTGAGACAGTTCCTCAGGTTGTGGGAACCCCCAACCATAATTTGTTGTTGTTGTTGCTACTTCGTAACTGTAATTTTGCTACTGTTGTAGGTTGTAACATAAAAATCTGATATGCAGGGTATCTGCTGTGCAACTCCTGTGAAAGGGCTGTACAACCCCCAAGGGGTCCCAGGCTACAGGTTAAGAACCACTGTCCTAGTCACCTGAGGAAGCGAAACCACAACTGAGGAACTCAGCAAGTCTGTGAGGCCTTTTCTTGCTTGATGACGCTGTGGGAGGGTCAGCCCTCTCATCCAGTGCCTCCCACGCGCAGACAGCTCTGGGTGTGTAAGAAAGTAGAGCAAGCCATGGAGAGCAAGCCTAAGGAGCACTCTGTGGTTTCTGCTTCCAGTCCTGCCTCTAAATTCTGCCCAGATTTCCTCCCTGAGCAGTGGAAAATAGGATAAAGTAAACCCTTTCCTCCCCCAAGTTGTTTTTGGTCAGTGTTTTACCACAGCCCCAGAAAGCAACTAGGACACTATGTGTTATTAAGAAAATGGATAGGCCAGGTGCAGTGGCAAATGCTTATAATCCCAGCACTAGGGGAGGCAGAGGCAGGTGGATCTCTGTGAGCTCGAGGCCAGCCTGGTCTACCAAGCAAGTACAGGATAGCCAAAGCTACACAGAGAAATCCAGTCTCAAAAAACCAAAATAAAAATTTTAAAAAAGGAAGAAAGGAAGGAAGATATAGACTATCCTACTATAAATAAATATATACATTTAAATGTACATTGAAAGTAATTCTAAAAATTAAAAACACTTGTTAAGATGCAGGAAGTTATATTACTTAATGGTCCTAGTAATATAATGCTTTTAAATTAGCATGAAGACGGTTTCAAGATACTCTGATACTCTAGAAATAACTGCTGACTTAAATAATCTTTGGTATTTTCAACATGATTAACTTAGGCATATTTAGGGAAGGGTTAAGAAAAGGTCTCACTACATAGCCCTGACTGGTCTGGAACTTGATCCGTAGATAGACCAGGCTGGCCTTGAACTCTGAGATCTGCCTGCCTCTACCTCCAGAGTGCTGGGATGAAAGGCAAGTCCCACCACAAGAGGCTCATGGACATATTTTAAAGAGCAAAGACAAACAAAAGCTTAAGTGATCCTTTTCCCTGTTCTCCATTGTTTGCCAGGTTTTCAGACCATTCAATAACCACTAACAAGCACAAGCAGCAGGTGACAAAAGAGCAGTAAAGCAGTGCCTCCTCTAACCCTGCGCGTAGCCACAGCCGAGCGCATGGAGCCCCAGTACATGCTTCACAGCTAATCATCAAATTAGCTACCAGCCACCTATTACTGCATATTTAAAGCTACTAATTCTTAAAATTATAAAAAGTTTTTGACAAATTATTCACATTCAATCACAACTTATTTTTCCTGAAATCTTTCAATTCCCAGTTCTCCTAAATAAGGTGCTCCAGAAACTCACGGAATTGCAGTTTTATTTTTAATACTGTAAAGATTATTACACAATCTGGATAGGTTATTGTTGCTATGGAAACTATAAGATTTTTGCAGTAAGTCAAAAAGTGCAAAATTAACACATCACATTAATGGTTTTTAAATTTCATATCCAGGCTGTCAAAGGAATTTGAAAGCTTGAGAACAGAATGAAGCATAGGCCTCTTACCCTGAACTATACAGACAGAAACAAGGGACAAATCTAGTAATTATTTCACTTAAAAAGTTTAAACATAACTTTCCTATGCAAAATTAATAAAACCCTGAAAACTCTTCAATTTTAAGATTTAAAGTTTTAAAATTGAGAGGGAATGACATACATATATCAAATTATCTTTCCATGTTTGTCACGTGGTAAGTGGTAAGGAGGCACCTCTGAGATTAAATGTGAGAAATGGCAAGGTCTCAGGGCATGAGGCTCTTTGACAAAGTTAAAACTTCAGCATAAAACCCATAGGCACGAGACTTGATACACACCTTTAATCTCAGCACTTGAGAGGCACAGGCAAATGGGTCTCTTGAGTTTTGAGTCCATCCTGTACTACATAGAACAAAAGAAGTTTGTTCCTAGATTCCTAGATCTCAATACAAAAATACTAACAATATAAAAGATCAAAACAGTATCTTTTCTCAAAAAGCTTTCAGTCATATAGAAATGTTTGCCAATGAGCATCAACTAAATGAATGCCAGAGCATAGAATTTCAAGGAGCAATGTAAACTTCAGCAAACAATTCATGGAGTTTAAAGAACACACACACAACAGCTCAATGAAATTCCAGCAAAAGAACTTAAGGCTTGAGTGATGCTCAAGAAAACACCAATGTAAGGCTGACAGAAACGAAGACAATCCGGAACTTGAGACTGGAATTCAATAAGGAGACAAAAACACTGAAGAGAACTCAAGCTCTCACATACAGAATGAGATCAAAGACACACTCCAGTTCACAAGAGCCTCAAAGAAAGTAAAATATCTAACAATAAAATAAACTAAAATGAAGAACCTTTACAATGAAAACTTTAAACCTCTCAAGAAACAGACACTAGAAAAAGGAGAGACACCTCATGCTCACGGATTGTAGAATATTGTGAAAACAATCGTCTTACCAAATTTACAGATTCAATGAAATCTCTATCTCATTTTTTTTAAAGAAATCAAAAAACTATTCTAAAATATACGTTCAGAAACACAAAAGACCCTAGATAGCCAAAACAATCCTGACCAAAAAGAACAGCAGAAGGGATTATCATTCACGATTGTCAGATATATTACAGAGCCATAACCACAAAAACAAAAGAGTATTGGCACAAAAACTACCATGCAGACGGTGACGGTTGAATGACAAAGCCTCATTTATTTGAATGTTTGGTCCCCAGTTGGTGGAACTATTTGAGAAGTTTTAGGAGGTGTAGCCTTGTAGGTGGAGGTGTGTCACTGGGGAGGGAGGTGCTCTTGAGGTTTCAAAGGCCCAGCCATTCCCAGGTAGCTCTGTGATTGCTGTCTCAACAGAAAATCTCTCAGCTACTGCTCTAGCGCTTTATCTGTCTGCCTGCTGCCATGTT